AAAGTTCTGTGAGGTAGGTGGTATTCCCATGCTATAGATGAGTACACTGAGATGGCTGGCGGTTCAAACCCACCAGCCACTCCTCGGAAGGAAGGTTGGGCAATCCTACTTCCGTAGTGATACTGCCTTGGAAACCCAAGGAGGGTTCGCTATGAGTCAGGGCTGACTCGAGGGCAAAACAACAACAACAACAACAGATTAGGTACTTCCCCTGAGATTATACGAATTGACAGAGCTGGTCTGCAAACCCTATTCTGTCTGACTTCAAAGCTGATGCTTTTAATAATATACTGCCCTTCATTTGTGGAGACTATCAAATCTTCCAGCTGCTCCTCAGAAAGAAGGTTGGGCAACCTACTTCCATAGTGATACCGCCTCGGAAACCCAAGGAGGGGTCGCTGTGAGTCAGATCCGACTCACCAGCAGTGCGTTTGGGGTTTGTTTTGTTTTGTTTTTGTTTCATGGGGTGATTTAAGCAGTTGGCCTGATTTATTTTCTCTCAGGTGATTCTTTGGAGATTGATGATCTGCCAGATTACATTGCAGATTAAAAACCAAAACACCAAACTCACTGCCATTGAGTTGATTCTGACTCATAGTGACCCCAATTAAGTTTTCAAGGCTGTAAATCTTTATAGAAGCAGCCTGCCTCATCTTTCTTCTGCGGAGCAGCTGGTGAGTTTGAACTGCCGACCTTCTGGTTAGCAGCCAAATGTCTTAACCACTACACCACTAGAGCGCCTTATGTTGCAGATTATATCGCCTTTTTGTTATTTTCTCAGATATCCTCATAATGTTGTTCCTATAAAAATACTGTATTAAGGACTTAATATTTATAAACAGTAATATCACAAAATTGAAGAGAATTGCAGGAGTGGTGGAGTAAAGGAGATTAAGGAAAGGAACCCAAAAACCCTAACTCACTCACTGCCATCGAGTCAACTCATAGCGACCCCATTAGATTTCTGAGACTGTGAATCTTTACGGAAGTAGATTACTCCATCTTCCTTCTGCGGAGCAGCTAGTGGATTTGAACCACTAACGTTCTGATTAGCAGCCAAATGCCTTATCTGCTATACCACCAGAGCTCCTTAAGAAAAGGAACTAAACCAAAAATTACCAAACTCACTGCTGTCGAGTCGGATCCGACTCATAGATCCAACTCATAGCGACTCCTCCTTGGTTTTCTGAGGCAGTATCACTACAGAAGTAGATTGCCCAACCTTACTTCCGAGGAGTGGCTCGTGGGTTTGAACCATCAGTTTAGGCACTATGCCACCAGAGCTCCCAAGAAAAGGAACAGGGATATGTAAAAGGGAAGGAGGGAGTAAAGACAAGTTTTTTTCCTATTTGATAGCTGGTCTTATTTTAGGCCCTCTGGAATTTGGCTGCTGCCGTCTTCAAAGGGCAAAGAATGATCTTGAAACTTTGGCTTCCAAAAGTCTGCCTAGTGGTGGTATGACCATTGGAGCAAAGTTTTTAGACTGTTCTCTGTTTGGAGCCAAAGAAATTTTGCAACCAAGCAAGAAGTGGTTGATCCAACTGTCCTGGCCCACACAGGTTAAGATAGCACGTTTGACTGTCTCGACATAGAAATTTATTATTACATGAGCAGAGAGTGTACTTAAGCACAACTTCCAAAACGCTTTCTTCTCCTTGGACTTCAGTACATTTTTAGAAATTAACTCCTTCTATCTTTTCACTTAAAAGTTTTTATTAACAGGTTTTAGTGAAGTACTCTGCAATGAGTTGGCTCATCCTTGCCTATAGGGTTGCAAACTGGCAGCCATACAGCCTATAAACAAGTAATAAGCATAATTATGGAATATTTTACATGATAAAGAAGTGAAGAGTAGGTGAGGAGTGCTGTGAAAGTTGATATGTTGATAGTTTTCTAGAAGAATTGTAATTTCTGGAGCTGCTTTTGAAAAAGAGACCATTAATGGTTACTGGCTATAAAAAATTACCTGGCCTCAAAGGTCAAGTTGGAGGAATATACTATGTATCTAGTCTGGGCTGATTTACAGGAGCTGTAAAAAGAATATAATCAAATGGTTTTGGGAAAACGAACAAAGATGCTTTTTGTAAACAGCGTTACCCAGTTAAAATTTTATCTAAATTGAATAGGCCTTTTTTCTTGATGCCCCCTGCTTCTAGCAGAATTGGCATGAGGTTTATCTTTAGAGGGTGTTTCCATAAGTTCTCTTGGAAGATGTGTCTACTTTAGTCCTGTGGTCACGAGGGTCCTCTGGAATTCTGACATGGATTCTTTCCACAGTAATTATTTGCTGTTTAAATAGTTGCTCATTATCATCATGAAATATCCCTTGGTGTATTTGATTTAAGACAGTAGTTCTCTAACTATTTGATCTCAATTTTCCTTTATACTCTTAAAAAAATTCTAGGACCCCAAAGAACTTTTGTTAATGTGAGTTATTATATTCTACTGAGAAATTGAAAACTATGTTTTTATTCGTTTAAAATAGCAACCCATTACATGTTAATAGAAATAAAATAATGAAAAATAATTATACACTTTCAGAAACAAAAGAATTAGTGGGAAGAGTAACATTGTTTTACATTTTTATAAATTTATTCAATATCTGCATTTACTCTACTTTTATATATTATTTTGATTAAAGTATATCTAGAAAATCTGGCCTCATACAGCTGAAAAAGGGAGAAGTATTAGAATATCTTTTTTGGACAGTTGTGGATATTCTTAGTGGGTATTATGCCAAAACTCCAACAAGTGGTAGTTTCTTAAAGATTAGTTGCAATGTTAATGGACTTTCCTTACTGTGTTACATTAAAATCCACTAGTCTTTCTTGCACTTTGAGTCTTTTACCCATACATGATTTTCTAACACTATGCATTTGGTTATTTGGAAAATATGGGTTCATTGATTTATGCAGATCTTCCAAACATTAATAAATTTTATTTATAATCCAGGCAAATCACATTTGTTAATATTCTCACTGATCTCAACAGAAAAGTAAGTATTGGGAAGTTGTAAGCTCATGGTGGCAAATATGTTATCCCAGAATTCTAATTTTTAACTTGACTGGTTGAATTGTATCATTAGCAACAACTATTTCCTTGATGTGACAGGCTTTACTTTGTTCATTTTTAAGAAACTATCTTTCAGATCTTCAAATCTGAATAACCATAATGTTTGTCAGTCATTCTTTTGAGTGAAAAATAATGTTCCATGAAGAAAGCGACTAGTTCATCTCACAACTGAAGCAGATGCACAACAGTGCTTTTCCTGGAAAGAACTATAGTACTTTATTAAACAGGAGGGCTGCTTTATGCATACTTGCCATTTGTCACACAGAATATGAAAAGACATGTATTTGAGGGTTGAGATTTAATAATGTTCATCATTTTTATTGCTTCATCAATGTCATTCTTAAGTGAAACTGACCCCCATCCCTTTTCTTTTAACTGCAAGCACTTGGTGGAGGAGAATACAACCACTGCTGGGGTCATTTGGTGCCACTACCTTCCTTCGTGCTAAGGCACCTGTGGTTTTATCCACTGTTGCTTTTGCATCATTAGCGCAAGTGTCAAAACCGTGAAAACAGCAAATATTTTCTTAATATTGGTTATGAAAATAATTTTAATAAGTCTTTCTCAGCTAAAGTTTTAACTTTTTTTTAAAGGGGGAGGTATTAAAAAGTAAGTTTTTAACAAATAGGAGTCTCATTTTTTTCTAGGTCCCTAATTGTCCTACTCGATCACTGCTATTTAGTCGATTTCGACTCATTGGGAACCTCATTGGGTTTCAAGGCTGTCAGTCTTTAGGGAAGCAGACTGCTTCATCTTCTGTGGAGTGGCTGGTGGGTTTGAACCACTGACCTCTTGGTTAGCAGCCAGATGCTTTAACCACTATACCACCAGAGCTCCTCTAATTATCCTAACCATACTGAAAACATCTGAACGTAGATATGATTACCTTTATTTTTGTGGCCCTTTTACCTCCTTTTTATCCTTTATATGCATAAGACAAGGAGCTCTGGTGGCATAGTGCCTAAGGCATTTGACTTCTGCAAACCAGAAGGCTAGATGTTCAAACCCACCAGCCACTTGAAGAAGGAAAACTGAGCAATCTGTTTCTGTAAAGATTTCCTGCCTCAGAAACCCAAAGGGGGTCGCTGTGAGTTGGAATTGACTTGGTGGCAGTGAGTTTGGTTTTATATGTGTAAGACAGCATTTTGATTTTTGCAGATCTCTTTGCTTTTTTTTTTTTTTTCCAGGCTTATGGTAGGTCTAAAGCCTCTATTCAAACAGCTTCTCTGCTTTTTCTTAATTGTTGTGATAAGGTGGGCAGATAAGGATCCCTAACCAGCCATAACTGCAAACATACTCTACCATATTGTTGGAAGCCATTTAGAAAACATGTGAAAAGATTTCTTCTGTTTGAAAGGATCATGTGACTGTTTCTCACCCAAGCAAGGATTGGTTAGCCAACCGAAAGTTCTAAACTACAACTTCCACAGAGGAAATTGCATTTGATTCTTTGTGACTATTTTCTTTGAAAGTTTACAAAGCAAGTCAGTAGTTTGTGACATGCCACCCTTTATATAACATAATGGTAAAACAGCATTCCTATTTATGTTGTTGTGGTTAGGTGCTGTCGAATCAGCCCTGACTCATAGAGACCCCATGCACAACCAAATGAAACACTGTCTGGTCTTGAGCCATCCTCACAAATAATTTCTATTTATAGCACTTTTCAAATCACTTTCACATTTTATATTACAAGACCAATTATCATTATGCCTGCTTCACAGTGAGATACTGAGGCATGGAGATATTAAGGGGCTTGTATAAGATCACAAAGCTTAGAAGGCAAACTCTGGACACTTATCCCCTTACAAGAAATAGAAGTTAATATAGCATTAGAACTTCTGTATCAGAATGCCCAGAGCTGTGTCTAGCATGCAGTAGAACTCACTAAATCCTTATTGAATGAATGAATGGGCTTTTCTTTTCAGGCCTGTATTGATGAAAATTTGGACATGGTGAAGTTTCTCGTGGAGAACAGAGCCAATGTAAACCAGCAGGACAACGAGGGCTGGACCCCCCTTCATGCAGCAGCTTCCTGTGGCTATCTCAACATAGCAGAGTGAGTGAGTCTCTGGATCTGGATTATTTGTGGCCATAACCTTCATGTCTTGTCTGCTCCTAGTAATTTGAATTTTATGAATAGTTAAAATTTTCCTTTATTGCAAATTATGAAAGCAAGAAGTTGAACTATTTTTATTTAAAGAATAATTGATACTATGTTTTACATCCACCACTTGTCTGTCAGTTTGTCATACTGTGGTGGCTTGCAGGTAGCTGTGAGGCTGGAGGCTATGCCACCAGTATTTCAAATACCAGCAGGGTCACCCATGGTGGACAGGTTTCAGTGGAGCTTCCAGACTAAGACAGACTTGGAAGAAGGAAGAGGCCAACCACTTCTCAAAGAATTGGACAGTGAAAACCTTATGAACGGGAGTGAAAAACTCACTGATATATTACTGGACAACTTTATGAATAACCCTGAAACATTGTCCGATACAGTGCCGGAAGATGAGCCCCTCAAGTCGAAAGGCACTCAAAATACTACTGGGGAAGAGCTGCCTCCTCAGAGTAGAGCCGACTTTAATGATGTGGATGGAGTAAAGCTTTTGGGACCTCCATTTGCTGATGTGGCATGACTTAAAATGAGAAGAAAAAGCTTCAGACATCCATTAATCATCGGAACATGGAATGCACGAGGAATGAATCTAGAAAAATTGGAAGTTGTCCAAAATGGAATGGAACTCATAAAGATTGATGTCCTAGGCATTAGTGAGATGAAATGGACTGGTTTTGGCCATTTTGAATCACACAACCATATGAACTACTATGCCAGGAATGAAAAATTGAAGAGGAATGAAGTGACATTCATCATCACAAAGAATGTTTTAAGATCTATCCTGAAGTACAGTGCTGTCAGTGATAGGATAATATCCATATGCCTAAATGGAAGACCAGTTAATACTTTTATTACTCAAATTTACACACCAACCACCAAAGCCAAAGATGAGGAAATTGGTGATTTTTACCAACTTCTGTAGCCTGCAGTTGACCAAACATGCAATCAAGATATGTTGATTATCACTGGTGATTGGAATGCAAAAGTTGGAAACAAAGAAGAATCATTGGTAGTTGGAAAATATGACCTTGGTATTCATTGCAAATACCTTTTTTCAACAACATAAACAGCAGCTATCCATGTGGACTTTGCCAGATGAAGTACACAAGAATCATATCGACTATATCTGTAGAAAGAGGTGATGGAGAACCTCAATATCTTCAGCCAAAACAAGGCCAGGAGCTGACTGTGGAATAGACCATCAGTTATTCATATGCAAGTTCAAGTTGAAGCTGAAGACAATTAAAATAACTCCACAAGAGCCAAAGTATGACCTTGAGTATATCCCTCCTGAGCTTAGAGACCATCTAAAGAATAGATTTGATGCATTGAACACCAGTGACTGAAAACCAGAGGAATTGTGGGATGACATCAAGAACATCAGCCATGAAGAAAGCAAAAGGTCATTAGAAAGACAGGAAAAGAAGAAAAGACCAAAATGGATGTAAGAAGAGACTCTGAAACTTGCCCTTGGACGAAGAGTAGCTAAAGCAAATGGAAGAAATGGCAAGACAAAAGAGCTGAACAGTAAGTTTCAAAGAGTAGCTTGAGAAGAAAAAGTCAATTATTATAATGAAATATGCAGAAGGGAAGAACACACTTGACATTTCTCAAGCTGAAAGAACTGAAGGAAAAATTCAAGCCTCAAGTTGCAATATTGAAAGTATCTATAGGCAAAATATTGAATGATGCAGGAAACATCAGAAGAAGATGGAAGGAGTACACAGAGTCACCGTACCAAGAAGAATTGGTTGATGTTTATCTATTTCAGGAGGTGGCATATGACCGAGAATCAATGGTATTGAAGGAAGAAGTTGAAACTGCACTGAAGAATTGGCAAAGAACAAAGTTCCAGGAATTGATGGAACACCTGTGGAGATGTATCAACAAATGGATGCCACATTGTAAGCATTCACTCATCTATGCCGAGAAATTTGGAAAACAAGCTACCTGCCCAACTGACTGGAAGAGATCCATATTTGTACCTATTCCAAAGAAAGGTGATCCCAAAGAATGTGGATATTATAGAACAATATCATTAATATCACACTCATGTAAAATCACACTGAAGAGCATTAAAAAATGGTTGTAGCAGTATATTGACAGAGAACTTCCAGAAATGCAAGCTGGATTCAGAAGATGACATGGAATGAAGGATGTTATTGCTGATGTCAGATGGATCTTGGCTGAAAGCAAAGAATACCAGAAAGATGTTTACTTGTGTTTTATTGACTATGCAAAAGCATTTGATTGTGTGGATCATAACAAATTGTAGGTAACATTGAGAAGAATGGGAATTCCAGGACACTTAATTGTGCTCATCAGGGATCTGTACGTAGAGCAGGAAGCTATCATTTGAACAGAATAAGGGGATACAGCATGATTTAAAATCGGGAAGGAAGTGAGTCATGATTGTATCCTTTCACCATATTTACTCAATTTGTATGCTGAGCAAATAATCTGAGAAGCTGGACTATATTAAGAAAAGTATGGCATCAGGATTGGAGGAAGACTCATTAACAGCCTGTGATATGCAGACAACACATCTTTGCTTGCTGAAAGTGAGGATGACTTGAAGCACTTACTGATGAAGATTAAAGACTACAGACTGCAGTATGGATGACATCTTAACATAAAGAAAACAAAAATTCTCGCAACTGGACTAACAAGCAGCATCACGATAAATGGAGAAAATATTGAAGTTGTTGAAGATTTCATATTACTTGCTTCCATAATCAACACCAATGGAAGCAGCAGTCAAGACATCAGATGACATATTACATTGGGCAAATCTGTTGCAAAAGACCTCTTTAAAGGGCTGAAGAGCAAAGAACACTAAGGTGTACCTTTCCCAAGCCATGGTATTTTCAGTTGCCTTATGTGCATGTGAAAGGTGGACAATGAATAAGCAAGACTTTGAAAAAGAGTTGATGCTTTTGAGTTGTGGTGTTGGCAAAGAATACTGGAAGTGCCATGAACCGCCAGAAGAACAAGCAAATCTGCCCTGCAGGAGGTGCAGCCAGAATGCTCCTTGGAAGCGAGAATGGCCAGAGTTCGTCTGACCTACTTTGGTCATGTTGCCAGAAGGGACCAGTCCCTGGAGAAGAATGTCTTGCTTGGTAGAGTGAAAGGGCAGCAAGAAAGGGGAAGGCCCTCAACAAGATGGACTGACACAGTGACTGCAACAATGGGCTCAAAAGGTATAGCAAGGATTGTGAGGCTGTCACAGGACCGGGCAGTGTTTCGTTCTGTTGTATATAGGGTTACTATGAGTTGGAGCTAACTCGACGGCACCTAACAACAACATGTTTTACATACCTGCTAAATCCACAGTTTTTTAGTTATGTATTATTTTTTTCTAGTAATTTATATTTGCTGGCATATATGCATGTGTGGCTTCAGTCTGTTGCACTGTCTGGGTGCACTTTTTGGGCAGTTGTAGCTAGGCATGTGTGTGGTTAGGACTGGAGTTTTTTTCTGGACTTCTTTATAAATCTGTTTTATTGTTTAAAAATAATCAGTACTTAATACAAATGAAGACAGAGACTGTCTGCCTTACTGATCACAGAACTCTTTTAGTTAATAGCAAAAGAATGAGCATAAATATATAGAACAAAGAAAAAGTAGGGATTGACATGTGTTCTCCACATTAATCACAGGAATATGTTTAATAAGGCACAAGTAGCTATTACTAAACTCCATGACATGTAGTTGCCCCTCCCTTAGGCAGAAAAATTCTGACCACATAGTACATGGAATACCTAAGGCATTTGACTGCTAACCAGAAGGCTGACAGTTCAAACCCACCAACCACTCCTCAAATCTACTTCCGTAGTGTCTTGGAAACCCAAGGAGGGGTCGCTATGAGTTGGATCCAACTCAAAGGCAGTGAGTTTGTTTTTTTTTTTTTCTTTTTAAATGAAAGCCTATTGAATGAAGCAATGATCAGGGAGGTTCTTTTTAAATACAAAAGAGATAATTGGCAGTTGGAAATACCTTTAAAATGAGGCAATTGTGTGTACTTCAAAAAAACCAAACTCATTGCCATGCAGTCGATTCTGACTCATAGCAACCCCTCCTTGGGTTTCTGAGGTGGTATCTCTAAGGAAGTAGATTGCTCAGACTTCCTTCCGAGGAATGGCTGGTGGGTTTGAAAGTCAGCCTTCTGGTTAGCAAGTCAAATGCCTTAGGCATTACTCCAGGTGAAGGTAAATTTAGTTTGTTAAGGCAAATTCCCTAAATAAAATTGTGATATTCAGTGGTCCTTTGAAAATCAGATTGCTTGTTTGAAGACCCTTTTCTGTAATAGGATGAGAACTCCATTACATTTCTCTTATTCAGCAAATAGCTGGCAAAATTGTGTTGGCAGCTTTCAAGAGGGCCGGGGATGACTTCCCATAGGATCTCATTTTCCCAGATGTCCTGGGGGGAGAGCCTGTGTCCTGGGTTTGCTATTGAGGCAGGGATACTCCGTGAGAGAAGTTAAACAAAGGGAGAGTCAGAGGCAGAGAAACATTAGGCGGCAGCACTGGTGTTTGACTGGGTTGCTTGTTCTAAAAAGTGGACGACTGGATGGGCCCCAAAGCCAACAGAAACAAACAGTGCAGTTTTCTTCAGTCTTGGTGCCTCACTCTGCTCAAATTTAGTAAAAGTCAGTCACCTCTTCATCCCCCAGGCTACCCTCTTTTCTTTTCAGTCTTGTAGGAAGTGCTCTGATCTTCAGCCTTCCCACTAATGCCAACTTCTGATGCCTAAGAGTTAAGGTAACTTCCTCTTAGTTTCAATTTTTACTGAAAAAATGTATCCAAGAAACATTTATAGAACATATTAACCCCCTCATTATTGACATTTTGTCATTTATTCAGGTGGCATGTTTGTGATTTTCAGCTACTGGACCTCATATCTTTTTTTGGTTTTGAATCTCATTACTTTCAAAGACTTCACTTTTTTTTCCACTAGAAGGTAACAAGCAGAGCTCATGCTTAGAATTAGGATCACTTGTGTTGGCATTATCCACGGAGGTCCTTTTTTCACTCCTTTTGTGAAGCTGAGTACAGAGAATGATTGTAAATGCTCAGTGGCTTCTTTAATTCTTCTTTATGGATGAACACAATTCCTTTGGAAGTAAATTCAGAACTTACCAGTCTTTTGCCCAAATAAATATTACATTGAGTGAGAGCTACCACTTCCTCATACAAATTGTTACTAATTGGACATGTGTAAGTCTGACCAGGGGAGATATAATATAGAATCCATTGCAGGGGTAGGATGGTAGTAGGAATGGCCTTTGTTTTTCATTTTGCTTATCATTATTAGGCAGGTTTTCACTTTACTGTCATTATTTACTTGAAGTATCTAAGATTATTATTTCTATAATGGAAAAAGAATCCCATTATTTATATTATTTATTTTGATAGGGTTACCCTAGGGCCAATGAAAAATGTTTTAGATAAATAAGATCAGCCCTTGGCCATCTTGTCATTTTCTTTTTTTATCTTAAAGATCTCAGACTGCACTTTTATTTCCAGAATCATTAGGAACTCTTAACTTCTAAGGGAGTGGAAATGAGTAAAAGGCAAATTGATTTTCCACAAAGAATCTAAGTACATTCAATTTCATGTTCCATGGTGACCTTTTTTGTCCCATATTTGAACTTGGTTTAGTAATATGTAAAAAAGAGATTTTGAGTCTCTTTCTTCCTCATTTAATTTTAAGTTGAGGCTTAATGCTAGTTAAGTGGATGTTTTACATTTTTATTACCAATAAGTGTTTAATTTAGAAGCAGAAGATTGACCCAAGGGTATAGTATTTAGTTTGGCTCTGTAGTTTATTGGGATGCTAATTTATTCTGAGTTCTTGAATACATTTTATTTTTCTTTCTTCTTCCTTTAGAATAGTACCAAAAAGACCTTATATCAGTGATGAGCTATGGAAGATAGGAAAGCTTTGTTTCTGAGGGGCATATATATTGAGCTAATGAGTGTTTCTGAGCCTCTGAGCCACAATAAGGATTCTCACAGGTAAAATAGACATTACTTAATGGGTTGACATTTATTCTGGTGAAAGCATAAAACTAAAGGAGTTTTTATTTCTTTTTTCTTAAAAATGGCTTAGGAAGGTAGTCTTACTTAACAATAAGCATTCTGATTCTTGGAGAGCCAGATTACTTTCTAGAAGTGAGTGTCTAAAAATATGTTACAGGTGAGCAGCTGGGAAGGATGAAGGCAGCAGAAAATCACACCTCGCAGGTCCGGCAGTCCTACAAACCTGGTGCCCCGTGCTGCCGCCTTGCTTCTCACTCTGGACGTGGATAGCACTCTGGGGCTACCTGAGATAGCATCCAGTGTTCAAAGAGTGTGTAAACTTTGTCAGAAGTGGCTCTTTTTTGTATGCAGACACCAAAGCTAATGTATGCATGCTACTGCCTGAATCAGAAGGGTACCATCTTGGGGCTGGTTCTCTAAAACTGTTCTCTGAATGACCCTGGTCTAAACTTTCTTCAGGCACATTACTGCTGTCATCATAGGCCTGCAAGAAAACTCCATCAAGGATGACTTCATTAACGCTTTCCATGGCTTTACTCAGCTTCATACTGTGGTACTGCCCCAAGATATCAGCTGTTCTGGAGGTATTAGTACTTGGCATACTGTTACCCCTTATGTAGATCACCAAGCCTGCCAAGGGCAAGGGAACCTTTGCAGTAGCTCTGGAGACCCAGGAATGTGTCTTGGGAATGGATTTTGTATACCTGCTGGTCTAGATCTCTTGCAGTGTCTTTGTGCTGATGGTTTCCATGGCTACACATGTATGCAGCAGGGCTTGTTCTCACTAATTGTGTTCTTCGGGATTCTGGAATCTATCGCGCTATTCATCTCTGTTCTGCTGTGGGGGACCCAACACCAGAAAGCCAAAGCTTCATGAACCAAGTGAGTCTCCCTAGTGACCTATAGCACATCTGATCTGTCTTTACCCAGGCTGGGAGCTCTGTTTCCTAGACAGGTATCATCAAAGGCGAGGCCACAATTGGAAGGCTGATGGAAAATTGCCCCAAACCTGAGTGTTGTGGATACTCTCTCCAGGACTAGTAGACTAGTACCAGTTCCCATTTGTGTTATTGTCTATAATAAATGCTTTTTTCTTCTTTTAAGGAGAGAAAATAAAACATTGCAGAAAAGGGAAAACAAAAAGCTCGCTGCTGTCGAGTTGGATATGACTCATAACGACCCCTCCTTGGGTTTCTGAGGTGGTATCTCTTTGGAAGTAGATTGCCCAACATTCCTTCTGAGGAGTGGCCAGTGGGTTTGAACTGCCAGCCTTCTGGTTAGCAATCAGATGCCTTAGGCACTGTGCTACCAGAGCTCCCAGAAAAGGGAAAGAAGCAGGGGCTTATAACCAAGTGACATTGTACTTGATCCAATAAGAGATGGAATAGATGTCAGAGCAGAGTTAAGCTGTTTCATTTAACTCAAGCACTATTTATGGAGTACCAGGAGAAAAGATAATGTGTTGCTTTCAGCCCATGTAGCTTTCAGCCTGATAGATTGGATGCATCAGTGTGTGGTTATATCATGACAGAGATCAGTGCTTAGGTTAGGGGAGGAGATCAAAGGAGGGAGAGACAGAATTCAGTTGGTGGGAACAGGCAAAGGCTTCATGAAATCAAAAGCATTTTAAAGGGACCATGAAAGATTTCTACAAGAGAAAAGAGGAAGGAAGATGTTTCATCCAGTTTGAGGAAACAACTTGAGGTGTGCAACTCGGTGTCAGTGGGATGTGTTTGGTAACAGTAAGTGATTCTTTTTGATTAGAGTGTAGGGTACAATTCAATCTAGTAAACATTTATTGAGGACCAAAAATCAGTCAATGAAAACAAAGCCTTATGATTATCATGGTCAAATCCGCAGTGGATTACGGGGATGGCAGTCTGGGCAGCATGTCATTCCATTGTACATTGGGTTGCCATTAGTCAGGGGTCTGCTTCATAGTAGCTAACAACAACTTGGTAAATTATTTGCATTTTGATTTTGCAGGGTTAGGAAGGTGTAGTTAAATATTCCTTTGGCCTGAGGAAGAGGAACCAGTAGAAAGGAGTTATTGAATATATGAAACTGAAGGGGTAATTGATGAAGAAAGGACTGTTGTTGTTTTTTTAATGTGCTGTCGAGTCGGCCCCGACTCATAGCGACCCCTCTTGGGTTTCCGAGGCAGTATCACTACGGAAGTAGGATTGCCCAACCTTCCTTCCGAGAAGTGGCTGGTGGGTTTGAACCGCCAGCCTTCTGGTTAGCAGTCAAGTGCTTTAGCCACTATGCTACAAGAGCTCTAGTACTTGATTAAATTAAGAGTACAGATAGAGGGGATTAGCCTTGAAATCTAATCAAGTGTCTTCCTCTTGAGACTGGAAGTGAAAATCAGATGAATTGTAAATCCTTTGAGTTTTATAAATGTGGAATTCATCTATAAATTAGCAAACATTACTGAGGCCCTTTTATACTACGTATTAGGCACTGAGAAAGCAAAAACGTGCTCTTAATCCAATCTTACCGGTTTTTTTTTTCCTCCTTTGCAAATTCCTTGAATACTGTGCCTATGTATTATCTTTTTTTTCCTTCCTGTTGCTAGTTGCCAGTGAGTAGGCTCCAACTCACGGGAGCCTTATGTGTAAAGAACGAAACGTTGCCCAGTTGCACCATCTTCATGATCCTTGGCATGTTTGAGTCCATTGTTGTAGTTGTTTGTGTCACTCTATCTCACCAAGTGATTTCCTTGTTTTATCTCTTGTAGTGTCTAATATATCAATACCTTGAACATCATAGGGGACCAATAAATGTTTACTGAATTATTGAATGGATTTAAGTCAAATTTTAATAGTTTTTTTCTCCGCTTGAAAGATTTCTGAGTATTTGGTAGAGCTCTTTCGGCATGATTAGAGTTCTCACTGGTCCAAAGATAGCTTGGTCTAGTGAAAAGGTGAACTAGACTTGCAGTCAAAAGAATTGGCAGGGGTGATTGTCTCTGCTATTTGCCAGTTGTGTGGTTTTGAGGAAATTACTTAACATATAAGTCTCAATTTCTTAAAATGGAGATAATGCCCATATTGCCTGGTTTATAAAATTGTCTCATGCTGTAATTTTATATAAAAGCACTTTGAAAATCAAAAAGGTCTGGGTAAAGATATTGAAATTATCAGAACTTTTTTCTTAAAAATCAAGTGTTTGAATTTAGAATCTATTTAACATTTTAATGTTTTGTCTTAAGTAATTTAATTTCCTCTTAAAGTATAGAAGACTTCATGCAGATTGCTGATTGAAAGGAGAGTTTTGTGGAGACATAATTTAGGTGGATTCATGCAAAGTTTAATGCATACTTTTTTCTCCTATTTTCATACCCGTAACAGTTCTTAATAAACCGCAGTGTGGCATTGGGAAAGTCTTAATGATAATTGCTTTTGTACATAGTTTTTGGGGATTCTTTTACATTCCCAGTATTACAAGTATAGTAAGTCCTTTTGGAAACTTGTGTTTGTACCTTGGGGATGATGGGTAAGTTTTAAGGGCTCCTTGCTTTCATTACGTATTTAGAAAATCTCTTGCTATCCACTAGGGATGAGAGAGTAGGGATTAGGAATATGAATGTGAAAGAAATCCCATTTGTTGGTATTGTTCTTGTCAGGAAATGGAGAAGCCTCCAGTCCTAATTATTGAAGGCTAATGGACTTAAAAATTAATAATAGAATACTTTCTCTGCGGATTTCATATTTAAAACCCCCAAATGGAGGCCTTAAATCAAACACCAGAAGCATGAGTATAAATTGATATTAAACTAACAGATAATATTGGTCCTGGCTCTTGTCTGTACAGATATTTCATTAACCACGGAGCCAGTGTGGGTATTGTGAACAGTGAAGGTGAAGTTCCTTCTGATCTTGCAGAAGAGCCAGCCATGAAGGATCTTCTTCTGGAGCAAGTGAAGAAGCAAGGTAACCTGGGGAATCGGAGGGGGCCAGGAGAATCTTAAACACTACCCCTTATAAAAAGTAATCTGTTTGCTCTGTATAGCTTTTTATCATCATGTAACAGGAGAGGGTAAAAACTATCTGCAAAGTATTAGTCTTCAATTACCAGCATCATGTATCTTCTTAATAATGCACATACAACTATTGGCAAAGTGCCAAAGGTATGACACATCATTATTTTTTTGCTATTCTGAGGCTGTGTATCATCTTATTTCTAGGAGTGGCTTGGTTATTCTTTGATGACACGGATTACACTGATGAAGAACATGAGCCTTTCTTACTGTATTCACATTGTCTAGATCCTACACACAGTGTACAGTCCAGAAAGAGGCTAAGATACTATATATATATATTAGAGTTGGTCGTTGTTGTTATGTGTCGTTGAGGCGGACCCAATTCATAGCGACCGCTTCTTGGGTTTCCAAGGTGATTATCACTGTGGAAGTAGATTGCCCAACCTTCCTTCCGAGGAGTGGCTGGTGAGTTTGAACTGCCAGCCTTCTGGTTAGCAGTCAAGTGCCTTGGGCACTACGCTACCGGAGCTTCCATATATTTGAGTGTTGACTACATTTAGTTTATTATTTGTTATTATGTGTCTTTTCTCCTGATGAGAGCCAAGAGTGATACAGTAAAGATAATTACTGCAACCTCTAAAATTATTTTTAATGAAATTAATCCTGAAAATTATTCTGGTAATTTGTTGAAGTAAGGAAGCTAAACTTTAAAAATTCTTATTATTCTTTATGTTGTATTTTCAGATGAATCCATTTCAGGGAATAGGGCAGCACTCTCCTAGTAGAGGTCTCTGTGTTCTTTAAATTATAAATATTATGACTAACACTAGGCAGATATCAGGGAGAACTAGTCTTAGAAAGTATATGTTGATTCCATCATCAAACTGTGGACATGATTTATAGTGGTTTTCGAGTTGTTCTGTGCAACTGCCTTAACACCACAATCTGTTGTTTATCCCAAAGGACTTAGCTCCAGGGGCCTTTTCTGATATGACCCTTTAGGACAGACAGGGCCAAATCCACAGCCACACCCATTTTGTTTACATATTGTCCATGGCCCACAGGTCTGAGAATATTTACTACCTGGCCCTTTACAGAAAGTATGCCTATTGCTGCCTTATGGTGTCCCAGGGCAGTAACTGCGTTATTTCTTCTTCCTTCCCATGAGTAGTTTTTGTGCTCTATTGAATTCAAGAATTTTATGCTTAGTTTACCATTGAGTCCTATTCAAAATTACCTCCTAAAACTTGCTTTACAACTAATTTTTTTTTTTCCCCAACACACTGGGTTTTCAAAAATAGTTTTTTATTTGAGGAACCAGTTTTTCTATTTTGATTGCTGACTTTTCAATTAAGGCACATATTCTATTGGAAGAGTTATGCATATTTACATTTAACTTTGTCACACTGTTAACTCTTCATTGTATGTGGATTTCTGGAGCATTCTAAATTGTTTACTTCTTCATCTTATCAGTCTTCCCAAATCAGACAGACAGACAGTTCTTAGATAGGTCATAGGTCCTCATTTGAGAAATGTACTGACCAAACACAGATGAAGGCTGCTAATGAGTGTACAACTCTTTGAATGAATAGATTTGTATTTGGGACATTTCATTATCTTATATAATGGTGAATATCTAACCTCCTCCCCTTATCAGCACAGATGTTAGAGATTTGTTGGCTAGAGAGAGAAACTCATAGGGTTTCTCTGTAATGTTTCTCAGAGAAATAAAATCTAATGCCTTTAGAAGCAGGCCAGTTTTTAACTGCATATTACCTTCTTACCTGCGTATTACCTACATTGGTGTTAGTGTGGGACTCATCTGCTCTGGATAGTATAGCTCCAGTCAGTGTATTTCCCCACATATATAAATGAATGATAGAGGTAGTTTGTTTTTAAAGGTGTATCATGACCATACTGTATAGCTACAGTAACAAAACAGCTTGGTACTGGTATAACAATAGACACATAAACCAATGGAGTAGAATTGAGAGTCCAGAAATAAACCCACACATCTATTGTCAACCAATTTTTGACAAGGGTGCTAAGTCCATTTGATGGGGAAAGAAGAGTCTTTTCAATAAATAGTAATTGGATATTTCCACATGCAGAAAAATCAAACAGGATCCATGCCTCATACCATACACAAAAGCAAATTCTTATGTATGTAAGAATTATCAGGAGGTCTTGTTAAAATGGAGGCTGTGATTCATTCTATCTGGAGTAGAAATACAAATTCTCAGCAGAGGGTCAAACTAGAATGAACTGGTTTGAAGCCTCGCTTGATACCTGATACAATATGAATGGAGCTTGAAGACATGCTGAGCAAACTGTGCCAATCACAAAAAGACAGATATTATATGACATCACTTATAGTTTAAAAAAAAAAAAGAAAGGAAGAGCAAATATATAGAGACAAAAGAAACTAGTGGTTATGGTGGGGGTGGGGGAAAGTAGATTAACAGTGTTGGAAAAATTACATTGATTAAGGGTAATTGCTGTCAATTCACCTGTAAAAAGTTGAATTGTGGAAAATTGTGTGATAGATACATTTACAACGATGACAGCTGAGGCTACTTATGTACAACCAAACACCTCACAGGATTTGGTTCCTTGGTTTGGAAGTTTAGGCTCATGGTTTCATGGGATCCAGTTAATTGGCCTAATAACGTGTTTAGTGCTCTTTTCTACCTCCTAGTTCATTGTATAGTCCCTGGGATCTTACAAGCTTGCAAGGGACCATCCAAGGCACAACAGTTATCTCTATTTGCCTGAACCAATAAAGGAAGAAGAGTCAGGAATAGGAGGAGATTATGGAATGTGTGGCTACTTGCCTCCATGAAACTTTTACTATGAGACGAGGACTATATGGTGCCCAGCTACCATTACTGATCATTTTGATTGAAAATTCTGTAGAAGAATCCTGATCAAAAGGGGGAAAATACAGAAACAGAATTTCAAATTTTCAGACTCTAGACTTCCTGGAGCCATGGAGGATAAATGAACCTATTGCCCTTTAAGAGTTAATCTTTAAACCTTAAATCAAAAGTATCCCTGAAGTCATCTTAAAACCAAAAATAGTTTAGCTTAACCAGTAAAAAAGGTCTGCCTTGAACATTACTCTTTTAAGAGCTATCTATATGTGATCAATTTGACAACAGTAACTTGAAAGATTAGATAGGAACCTTAAGAGGCAGTCAATTTATGTTACATAGGGAGGAACACTTAGAAAAGGAGGGTAAGAATGGTTGCACAACTTGAAGAATGTAATCAGTGTCACTAAATTGTACATGTAAAAACTGTTGAATTGGTATATGTTTTGCTGCGTATATTCTCAACAAAATAAATAAAATGTAGGGGGAAAAATGAACTGAGACCCCCCAAAAAAAGGATATTATACTTGAAATCAGGATTTTTTTCATCCCAATCTTAGGGTGTAGTGAGTGGGAAACAACAGTAGACAAGGACCTAGGACCTCCGAGTTCTAGTGCCAGTTCTGGTGACATAAATGTGTTTTGTGGCTTTGAGCAAGACTTTTCTATGTTAACCTTTCTATGTTTCTTTCCTCATCTGTTAAATGGGGATAGAAATAGCTATTATTTACATTAAAAGGATTTCTGGGAAATAAAATGGTACAACATGTAAAAGAATTTTGAAAAGTATAAATCTGTACAAATATTATAATGTAAAAATTGTGCCCCCTTTGATCTTTATGTTTTATCGAAAACAGTTTTAGATGTGTTTTCATAAAGGATCTGCAATTGCATTATATTTCGCCCCATGATTTAACTCTGGTAAGACACTAATGTGTGTACAGGTGCTATTGCTCTTCTAAGGAAAAAGTAGATATGATGAATACGCAATTTGGTCACTACACTGTTGTTTGTGGTTATATTTATGATGAGTTTTGAATCTAAGGAAAATATCCTGCCTGATGTAAGTGGACCTTTAGTAACACTGGCTCTGTGACATCTGGTTTCTATAGGAGTTGATCTAGAGCAATCAAGAAAAGAAGAAGAGCAACAGATGTTGCAGGATGCCCGCCAATGGCTCAACAGTGGGAAAATAGAGGATGTGAGGCAGGCTCGCTCAGGGGCCACAGCCCTCCATGTGGCTGCTGCCAAAGGCTACTCTGAGGTTCTCAGGTATTGTCCATTTACATCCATCAGAACTCTGGGTGATTGGGAGATTATGAGTTGGGTTTTGGAAACAGGATGAATTAGATTCTCAACTATAATGTGCTCCCTTTTTTTGTTGTTGGTTTCCTCTCTAGCCTGTAGTCTTCTCACATTTTGCTGATATTCATCTATAGATGGTCTCCTTCCTCCTTACCATCCTTCTAGTCTGTCACTGTCATGTATGATGGGACACAGAGTTGAGGTATAGTGACCTATAAAGTGACCTTACACAGCCTCTTTCAGCTCTGTGATTTATCATTAATTTCCTGCAACCTCAACCTTTTGTGACTTGTAATACAGGATAGACTTGTGATCATTTTGGTCCTCTTTGGACTAATTTCTTTGGGGTCACTAGATTAATTATACAAACCCTAAGTGTTCAATCTCCAGCCGGGGTAGGATAGTCAAATTTATATGAGGGATTTTGACTCTACTACTCTACCTGTAAAGGGCCTTGGTGGCACAGTGGTTAAGCACTTGGCTGCTAATGGAAAAGTCAGCTGTTCAAACCCACGAGCCTTTCCATGGGAGAAAAACGTAGCAGTCTGCTTCTGTAAAGATTTACAGCCTTGCTAACCCTATGTGGCAGTTCTAGTCTGTTCTATAGGGTTGCTATGAGTCCAATTTTACTCTACCTGTTCTATTTTCCTTATATCAGTACATACTTTGTGTAACTCTTGGTGCTTAATGCTGACAGGTTTTCTCAAATAACATAGGTTGCTAAAAGCATTGTATTTTGGGTTGTTGTTGGACTATTTTGATGCTTCATATTCTACCCACTATGAGGTTTCCAGCAGGTGTGGCAACAGGTTGGTACTCCATTTCTGCCTGAGAATGATGTGTACATTCTGCTCAATTCTTGGAAGATGTGTGGAGACCCATAATACAGATAGCTTCAACCAGCCCAGTGTAATTTGGGGCTCCAGGATTCATCAGGCTTCAGGAGTCACCACTTTCCCCTTCCATGCATACAAATTAGAGTATAGCTTTAAAATGAGCAAGAATCCCTTATAGATGCTTTTACAGAGTGGGAAGTGTGAGAGTCTACAATAAACATATGGAAAAATTGGAAAGCTAGTTGGTACAGTATCCTGTAGATAAATAAGTTCTCAATTTGTATGTTACTTCTCCACTGCACTGGAAAATGGAAAATGCAGCTTGTGGTAGAGCTGTGCGATTTCACTAATTGAATTAGGCCTTAGTTAATCTCAGGTATCAAAGACCCACATCTTTCCACATGCTCCTCTTTTATGTTGTAACATGGTTGTGTGTAGGAAATACCATGTGACCTTTTGGAGAAGGTTGCCAAATATCATCTACAATTGGTCCTCATAGTAATAACTATGAAACCTGAGATGAACCTTAGAGGGCAGAAATAATTGCAGGCCCCCTGTGATTCAGTGCAAAATCTGAACTATCAATTTAGTGATGATTTATTTGGCAGAAAACTAATAATACAGGGGAGATAAATGTCTTGTTTGGGGTTTTCTTCTTAGACTTTTGATTCAGGCTGGCTATGAACTCAATGTTCAGGATCATGATGGCTGGACCCCCCTCCATGCTGCTGCACACTGGGGAGTGAAGGAGGCTTGCTCCATCCTGGCAGAAGCACTCTGTGACATGGATATCAGGAACAAACTGGTTAGTGAGCCTGATCCTTGAAAAGGGCAATAAGATTGGTGACTAGGTCTCTAGAAAGTCTGTGAAAGGGTCAGCCTAATTGCCCTGGGGACGTACACATCACTGGTAGCACTGGTGCTGTATCCCTCCTCCGCCTCCCCTTATCAAAAGAGACATGTTTGCTATGTAAAATAAAACTGCACTGACCTAGCCTTCTGAATCTATTTATGTTAACCCCTCTAAAACAAACAAACAGGAAGAAAAGAAACCTGCCAAATGTTTTGTGTTTGTCAAAAATGAGTTTCTGAGGCTCTTAAGGCCGTTGTCTATAGTGAAGTGTGAAAGATTTTATTTTTTAATTCAAAGCTGAGCTCTAGTCATATTGAGTCATGAAAAAAAAAATAATAATGACACAAACCCTTGAGTTTGGCTGAAAATAGTGTTATTCTGTCTCATTACAAGCAGCTTAGAAGCCCTCAGACTCCAGTGTACTAATTTTGTAGGGATCCAGAGATACGGCCTTTTAATTAGTCAGTGTTCTCACCTGCCTCACATTTCTTCTGATCCCAGGTTTCATTCTGACTATGGATGAGTCAGGCTCCTTAGTTGTGCTGATGTTTCCTAAAGGAGATGACCTCTGTATCTGCCCTTCTCTCACTTAAAGGAAGATGATTCTTATGACCTAATCTTTAGTATGCAGGCACTGTGGATCTCCTTCTGAAGTTTTTAAGAGCTCCTTATTGAATTTATCATAACAATTAAGACCATTTTAGAACAAATACAAGCAAAGATTTCAGTTGATTATTTGCAAGAAGCAATGAACGTTAGAAATCGTGTGATGATTTGTTCAGTATATTTTGCAAAATATAAAACTCTGTATTTAAAGGACTTGCTCTTTTATGTTATGTTTCCTCTGTGATGCAGGCGTTATATCATCATGTAGGATAGATTACTCAAAGAAGCAGCTATCATTGGAATCAAAGGCAGAAAGTGAATATAGAGTACTTATCTGATAAAATACAGTCACTTGCTTGTTACTTATTTTCTGTTGCCCCTTTCCCCTCTGCCAGGGCCAGACACCATTTGATGTAGCTGATGAGGGGCTCGTGGAACACTTGGAGATGCTCCAGAAGAAGCAGAATGTAGTGAGTCTCTCTTGAGGTTTTAAGGCTTTTGTAACAGTTTACAATCCACTCTCGGTATCTTAACCCTTTGCTGTAGTTATGTCTCTGACAAAAGCTGATATGGACATATCTGCATTCCAGAGTTGATAATTGTTGCCTTCCAGGATGAACCAATGGTCTACTAGAAGAAAATGTCCCAGAAAACATAGCTGTTAAAGTTTACCTATCATAAGCTAGCATTCATGCAGCTAAAGGTTAAAAGAAAAAATACCTAATTAACTAATAATTATACTTGAGTTCTAGAAAATGATTATGATGTGTTCAAACCAGAGTTTTTTTCCTAAACAAGGGCTAAAAGAAAAAATACCTAATTAACTAATAATTATACTTGAGTTCTAGAAAATGATTATGATGTGTTCAAACCAGAGTTTTTTCCTAAACAAGGGCTACCAGAATAGAGGATACCACATAGTTTGTTTTTTTTTTCCTTATTGATTAAAAGATGTCATTATTAAAGTTCATTGATTAGAGAGAACAATACGTTTGCTTCTTTAAAGATACATAGACATACGATACCAAAGCTGTCATTTGGTATTGGACAGTACTTGGTCGGTGATTCTTACTTCAGATTCACCAAGTATCCAGAATTCAGCCTTCTTCCCCCTGCTACTTATTCTGAATCTCTTGTTGCTTGTTTGCTTGTGCCAATCTGCTTAGTGGTGTAGAGGTAAACTTCATGAATGTGGTACTGCAGAATGGAAGAACTCATCCAATATATAGATGGACAGTGAATAACTGACATTTTCTACCCCTCAGGAGAATGAGTGATCTAGGTGAGGAGGATAAAGATCACTGACATTAGGGTCTTGAGAATTCCCTGTTTTAGCAGTGTATGACAGGAAAAAAAAAATCACTGACTCTCCTTTTTCACTTTTGCATGTGTTGTGGCTCAGCACATGAACTCAAATTTAGGGCAAATGTAGGAAACTTAAAGCAATTTTGGATGGAAGAAATGTATAGCTCAGTGATGGGACAGATCAACCATATGTAACCTCATATGTGTTCTGCATCATATCTGGGCTGGCAAAGTGAAGATTCTTATACTCAGTGGGAGAATCACATACATCGCGTTCAGACAAAAACAACTTACAGTTCGTTTTGCTTTCTTTAACTAACAACCAGGATCACTAAAGATAGGACAGACAGGACTTTCTAAATACAGTATCAGTGCTATTATTTAGCAAAACAACCTTCCTAATACAACATATGTACTTTGCATAGGTTCTTTTTTTAAAAACTTCTATCCTGAAATAATTTTTAGGCTCACTTGGCGTTGCAAAAATAGTACAGAGAATTCTTGTGTATCCTTTACTCAGCATAGTTATGTTTTTACCTAGAAATATCATCTTTACTAAGTAATACTTCTACCTTAATGGGAATAGTGTTTAACTTTGCCCTCTGCATAACTTTGGAGTCCAGGGATATAAATACATTTTATCTAGAGCATGCATCTAAATGCCATACACTTTTCTCTAAGGGCTTATCTCCTGTTCTGTCTTTTCTTTAGAACTTTTGCCAACTTATTTAAGTATATGGATCATGAAGAATTCTTTCAAACGTCCCTTCTGGCTTTTTATCCTTCAGAAACTAAGCTTTGTTAGAAGATTGGGTTAGGATATTTGATAGAAGTAGTTTTATTGAAGCTCTAACACTTGTATTTTTTCTTCGCTGCCTTGGTAAAGACTATTCTCTCTCATGATCTTCTAAGGAGACTCAAATGATGTGTTTCTCTTTTTCTCATCCTTTGGGGTTAGTCCTATCTTCTTCAGACTGACAGTACCGGTTTGAGTTCTACCCACTGTTGTTGATTTTTTTACCAGTAGTCAGTAGTCAGCTGCTTCCCTTTTCTCTCTGTTTTTCCACTTTCTAGCTTCGAAGTGAAAAAGAGACACGGAATAAACTCATTGTGTCAGACCTGAACAGCAAGTTGCAGTGTGGACTCTTTAAGAAGTAAGAGCTTTGGGGCTTGAGAAATGGGATGAGCTGTCTGTGGCTGTGTGTATGACATACTTAGCTTGAGAACTCTTGTAGTAAGGAAACTCTGTGTTTGCCAAATGATCTTTAAACACATGGGAATGCTTGAGTTACAAGGAGGTGGCATTGATACATGGAGTAGGCTCTGAGGATGAGTGAAAGTGTTTTAAATGTATAAATTAATTGAGAGTATGTGCACTGTTTCTTTTTTCCTAGTTTAGGGGTTCTTAGACTCAACTGCTCCCCTTACTAGAGTGTAAGTTCTGTGAACTCAGGGACCATGTCTCTTTTGTTTACCATTATTCCTGGTATATAATAAGTACTCAATAAATATTTGGTAAAGGCATTTTTTAAATATTTACCTGCCTCATTATCATTAAGATGAATAGCTCTCTTTTTTGCTGTGGATTGGACAAGCCAGATCTCCTTTAAGTCATACTCTAAAGTCAAACCTAAATCTCAGTTTGCAAAAAAGCAAAGATTCAGGACACAGTTATAAAGGAGGATTTGAATATGTTTCTGTGATTGCACCTACATAAGGTCTACAGACTCATTCCTTTTCTTACATGTGATTGTAGTGCACTTGTTGTTGTTGTTGTTGTTATGTGCTGTGGAGTCAAACCTGACTCATAGCGACCCCTCCTTGGGTTTCCGAGGCAGTATCACTACAGAAGTAGATAGCTCAACCTTCCTTCTGAGGAGTGGCTGGTGGGTTTGAACCGCAGCCTTGCACTTAGGAGACTCTTTGTCATTTCTGAATGTCACTCAAATTACTATCTTTATTTTAGCAAAGAGAAGATGCTCTATGAGGAGGAGACACTCAAGTCTCAAGAAATGGAGGAAGGAAACAAGGAATCCAGCAGCTCCAGTTCAGAGGAAGAAGAAGGTGAAGATGAAGCTTCTGAGTCAGAAACTGAGAAGGAGGCAGGTAATGCAAAGATGTTCATGGCAAAGATCCTTCCATTTCCATAGTGAGAGGAGATCACTGCTTGTCAGAGAGCCAGCCAGGCCTCAGCACTCCAAAAAGAACTTAAATTTAGTTTTTAAGGATGAGATATCAAATTGCTACTGAAAACTTGGTTATACAAGCTCTGAGCTATGTTAGACTGTATTTACCAGTTCCTATGTCGCTGTAGGATAAAGTGCACAAAGAATTCTTTGTGAGGGAGTCAACTGTCCTGACCTCGGGTTTGTGGATAGTATGGAGACCAAATTCCAAAAGTCAGTATGTTGAGAAGCGGAGGAGGTGACACCTTGCAGAGGCACTTGTGGTCAAGTACCTTTAACCAACTGGTGAAAATTTGCATTTATTCTCAGGTTTGTCTGATACCCTAAGTAGAATCCTAATTTTTTTTTTCCCTCTCATTGTAAGAAGCTTCTTTAGTTCCTGAAAGAGCTCTGGTGGCTCAATGCCTAATCCATTTGACTGGTAACCAGAAAGTTAGCAATTCAAACCCACCAGCCAATCCACAGAAGAAAGATGTGGCAGTCTACTTCTGTAATGATTTACAGCTTTGGAAACCCAATGGTGGTCTATATGGGTCGGAATTGACTTGATGACAATGAGTTTGGTGTTTTGGTTTTAGTTCCTAAGTGGATTGAGGAAGGAACAAAATTGTATTTACCTTTATGACTGTTAGAGATAAAGTACTTATCATATTGGAGCTTCTTAAGTTTATTATCTGGCAAGATAGGAGCTCCTCCAATGAGGTGCTGGACATGCCAGACCAGCAAGCTTTAAAGTAGCCCATATGTTTTGGTATATAGTCAGGCAAACACTGAGAAAAGAGACACTGCATATTTCTGAATAATGGTTCAGCCAAACAGAATAGTTCTCACAGATAATTGAAGTTAATGATAAACTACGATTTTATAGTACACATGCCCTGTATTCATTAGCATGTTTCCCTTCAGATTTGAGTCCATGAGAAGATGAACTGTTTCTAGCTAGAAGACCAAGTTAGAGGGGAAAGGGTCACACATTAAGTTTATAATGGAATCTGTTTTCCTCTGAACTCTACCATAGCTGGCCCATCCATAATTAAGATATTTAGTTCTCTCTCTTGTCTGGCCCCTCGTTCCTGATGAGGTCTGGCTTTGCTGACACAATTTTTCTCAATTATGAAAGAACACTGCCCTTCTTCATGTCCCTTGCAATCTCTGAGGCTCATTGAAAGTCACCAAGAGAAGCCAGAGACCACTGGTTCTATAGAGAAGACAGTATAATGACCTTAATACACGAACTTGAATATCTCTTATTAAGCAGGCACAATTTGCTCTAGAAACACTAGTGTAGTAGCTATCAAAAATTTAAAATATGTACTTTCTTGACATGCTTAATTTTTATTGAGTACTTATACATCCTAGGAAGTCCCTGGGTGGTGCAATTAACGCGTTTGGCTGCTGACAAAGTTTGGAGGCTTGAATTCACCCAGAGGCCCCTCAGAAGAAAGGCCTAGTGATCTACTTCAGAAAAATCAGCCATTGCAAACCCTGTGGAGCACTGTTCTACTCTGACATACACGGGGTCGCCATTAGTCGGGATTGACAGCAGTGGGTAATTGGTACATGTGCTAGGCTTCAAGTGCTGTCTGGAATTAATACCTGAGCTTACTTTATACTAATTTACTTAGTGAGCTACTGAGGTATCAGAAGGATGGGAGAGAGCTGCCTGGACTAGTGTAATTGCTTCGTGATTCGTGCCCTTCCCTCGGATCACTTGTTCCCTGCAGCCCATCTGCATGTTAGTATTGAAGTAAAACACCCACTGCACCCTTTTGGTCATGCTATATGTCTGTTCAAAAACATTTTGTGACTACCTCTTCCAGTCCATCTTTGCCTGCAGAGTAAATCTCAAACCCTATAGCCTGGCCTTCAAAGCTTTTCATAACCTAGCTCCAGCTGACCTTTCCAATTCTATACACAGGGAAGAATGTATATTAACTCAATTGAATTGCTTAATTTCCTCAAACATGCCTTGAGCTTTCATACCTCTGAGACTTCATTTGTGCCTTAGAATTTATTTCAGGACATGAAAAGCATGTTGAGTGATTTCTGTTAGAAACTAGAGGACCTAGCAGGTTGAGGAAGTCTCTCTAAGTTTTCCTGATACAGGAGGCTGAAAGGAATGGACAACGTTACTGTTTTTCCACACCATGGTAGTTGCTTCCCCTATGGAAAAAGGTGATAGAGAAGCTCATGTATCTTCAGTCAAAACAAGGCCAGGAGCTGACTGTGGAATAGACCATCAATTGCTTATATGCAATTCAACTTGAAGCTGAAGAAAATTAAAGCAAGTCCACAAGAGCCAAAATATGACCTTGATTACATTTCATCTGAATTTAGAGACTGTGAAGAATAGATTTGATGCATTGAACACCAGTGGCCGAAGACCAGACAAATTGTGGGAAGACATGCAGAACTTCATACATGAAGAAAGCAAAAGGTCATTAAAAAGACAAGAAAGGAAGAAAGGACCAAAATGGATGTCAGAAGAGAATCTGAAACTTGCTTGTGAAGGGAGAGTAGCTAGAGCAAATGGAAGAAATGATGAAATAAAAGAGCTGAACAGAGGATTTCAAAGGGCAGCTCAAAAGACAGAGTGAAGTATTGTAATGAAATGTGCAAAGACCTGGAGTTAGAAAACCAAAGGGGAAGAACATGCTTAGCATTTCTCAAGTTGAAAGAACTGAAGAAGAACTTCAAGCCTCGAGTTACAATATTGAAGGGCAAAATATTGAAAGGTGCAGGAAGCATCAAAAGAAGGTGGAAGGAATATACAGAGTCACTGTACCAAAAGGAATTGGTCAGTGTTCAACTATTTCAGGAGGTGGCATATGACCAAGAACTAATGGTACTGAAGGAAGAAGTTGAAGCTGCCCTGAAGGAATTGTCAAAAAACAAGGCTCCAGGAATTGATGGAAAACTCTTTGAGGTGTTTCAACAAACAGATGCAGCTCTGGGGGTGCTTACACCTTGATCTAACAGAATGTGGAAATTATCAGACAATATCATTAATATCACATGAAAGTAAAATTTTGCTGAAGATAATTCAAAAATGGTTGGAAAAGTATATTGACAGGGAAGTATCAGAAATTCGAGCTGATTTGGAAAAGGATGTGGAACATGGGATGTCATTGCTGATGTCAGATGGATCTGGGCTGAAAGCAAAGAATACCAGAAAGATGTTTTTATTGACTAGGCAAAGGCATCTGACTGTGCGGATCACAACAAATTATGGATAATGTAATGAAGAATGGGAATTCCAGAACACTTAATTGTTCTCATGAGGAACCCGTACATAGACCAAGAGGCTATCGTTCAAAGACAACAGGGGGATACTGCATGGATTAAAAAAGGAAGGGTGTGCATCAGGGTTGGGTCCTTTCACCATACTTATTCAATTTGTATGCTGAGCAAATAATCTGAGAAGCTGGACTATATGGAGAAGAATGCAGCATCAGGATTGGAGGAAGACTCACTAACCTAGGATGTACAGATGACACCAGCCTTGCTGAAAGTGAAGATGACTTTAAGCACTTACTGATGAAAATCAAAGACTACAGTCTTCAATATGGATTACACCTTAACATAAAGAAAACAAAAATCCTTACAACTGGACCAATAAACAACATCACAATAAATGGAGAAAACATTGAAGTTGTCAAGGATTTCATTACTTGGATCCACAATCAACACCCATGGAAGCAGCAGTTAAGAAATCAGACATTGTATTGCACTGGGCAAATCTGCTATAAAAGACCTCTTTATTTATTTAAATTTTTATTGTGATTTGGGTGAAAGTTTACAGAGCAAATTAATTTTCCATACAGCAGTTCATACACATTTTGTTTCATGACATTGACTGCTATTCCCCACAATGTAACAGCTCTCTTCCCACTTCTTCTCCATAGTTACCTCTTCCCTGTGTCCTTCCCTCCCATGCACTCCCACCCCCTGAGCTGTCTTCCTGTTCACTGCCCTTCTGTTCTCTCAGGATTGATTGCTCTAAGGAGTATATCTCCCTGGTGTAAATGTTCATCCCCTATGTCTGTCTGTTGTTTGGCTGGAAGCCACAGGAGTGAGTTCAGTTCCAGACCTGAAGGGTAACTAGGGCCATAGTCTCAGGGATCTCACCAGGCTCTGTCAGACCAGCACACCTGTTTTTTTTGTTTTGTTTTATTTTTAAGTGATTTTGAGTTTTGTTCCACAGTGTTCTTCCCACTCTATCCAGGATCTCCTGCACCAATGCCCCTCCAAGTAGTTGACAGTGGTAGCTGGGCTCCATCTAGTTCTTCTGGTCTCATGGTCATATAGGCTGAGGATCCATAGTCTACCAGTCCCTTGGACTAATTGTTCCCATGTGTCTTTGGTTTTCTTCATTCTTTGCTCTGGATGAGGAGAAACCCGTTGTCACATCTAGATGTCTGCTTGCAAGCTTTTAAGACCCCAGTCACTACTTACCAAAGTAGGATGTAGAACAATGTTTTTGTATAGTATGTTATGCCAATTGAGCTTGATGTCACCAGCGACCATGGTCGTGACCCCACAGGTCCAACTACTTGCTCCCTGGCTGTGACCAAAAAGCCACTAAACTATCCCTTGTCAGTTTTATTATACACCCAGACATTCTTACAGCACATACAAATATGCATGTAGAAATGTTGTCTGCTAACCTGTGCATGGTCATGGGCACACACATCCCTGCCTAGACATATCTGATCATTCAACCTGTCCACCCATATATCTGCCTCTAGATCATTACTTGCCATCACTTATGCCACAGTACTGTACATGCAAAGTGGTTCATCTTTGTTGTCTGTACCTCCTGTGTTATCTCTTTATGCCTTCCTCTTCCTCAGTCTCATGTGTTGATCACTCAACTTTTGGTACATTGCCCTTCCCTACACCCAAATCAGTACTTGTTTC